GTGTGTGCGTGTGTGGTCCAATTCAATGAACCATTTCCACCATTTTCGAAACCGGGGTATTCTCTGTATTCTTTTCTGTGTGCGTTTTCTTCTGATCCATTGTCGATACAAACGCGTTCAGACCGGGTGGGCATCAGTACGTGCCAGACTACGGTTACTTTTTAGGGTATACGTGCTGAAAAAGTAAAGAAATGAACCATGTAGTAAAACGATGCGTAACCAATCGCCATGGTATGGCTTACTAATAACCTTCTTATGGTGCGGGTATCTTCACTGACGCGAGCGGACGATGAGCCAGGTCAGGTCAGGTTGCACAGGACGGCTTTCGCCAGCCGGAACCAACGTTCTTTCGGATCTTCGGCTTTTTGTCGACCGATTGACCACAGCCGATTTCTTCGTCTGGAACAGCTTCCCTTATCGGGTCCGTATCTGCAAACGGAGGTTATTCGAAAATAGGCAGCACGGAACACCCTTTGTCAATAATAGGCACCCTACAAAATCTCCGGATAGAGGCTGATCCAGACCTCATCTAGTTGCGTTTTTAACTCATCCACTGTCCTACAGTACAGCAGTGAAGATGTTAGTTGGTTCCACTTATCTCTCACTCTACTCACTCTCACTCGTCGGTTGAATCGGCTCCTGGGCTTCATTAGCTTCAAATGGTGCCCCCTTGTTGACTCGAGCGGTGCTCCAGTAAACAGGCTATTCGCCTCTAGTCCAGTCAGCCTGTTCAGTATTTTGAAGGTCTCAATAAGGTCGCCTGTCAGGCTTCTCCTCTCCGTGAAGAAAAGTCCTTGGGTTACCGATCTCTCCTTATATAATTTACTCCTTATTCCCACGATTATCTAAGTGGCCAATCGTTGCACCCTCTCGAGGGCAATTTATATCCTTCTTCAAGTAGGGAGACCAAGCCTGCACGCAGTATTCCAACTGCGGTCTTCACTATATTTGAAGCTGACGTTGAATTGACAAGCCATTGGTATATTGGTCGCCTTGGCTATCTGACAGACCCAGACTTCAAATCATCCATGATGAGGTTTTTTTCGAACTGATCCATGAGAACTGGATAACGGATTCTGTGATAAGCTGTATTCGGCCTCCTGGACTTGGGAAATCCGGTTGAGAAGCCCCTTGATCTGATCGGTTCCAAATAAATAAATCGTTAATTTGATATATCGATCCCCTCCCTGTCCGATGGATTAGACTTTTTTGTCAAACACTCGGACTGGTTGCTCCTATTACATTGTATTTCACACACGCCTGACGCCAGACTGTGTGCCAAACAAATCACGGAAAAGAAAAACGTTCCATGATTTGCATGTGGGCTGAATACTGCCAGGTTGTCCAGGCCAAGGCAGGTGCATTTTCCCGAGGAATTTTGAACCGGAGCTTTCGGCAAGCCAGACCCTGAGTTGCAAGGCAGCGGGGGCGGTGTGTGAAAACCGCAATCCATTGTGGGCCGGTGTCCAGTTCGTCGGATCGTACGTCCAAGGTACCCAATACACCTCCATGCCCAATCGAGCCGGTAACCACTGCGACAACCGGGAAGGTGTGTATAGTTCGTACACCTTTTCTTGGTTGGTTTGGAACCAGGATTCTTGGCCAACTCCTCTAAGTGAACTACCGGTGGTCAACTAACCCGGTTATAGTCCAGGATGTCGGTTTTTTGTCCTCTCACTTTGTTGGGAAAACACCTCAAACACGAGAAGGCAGAGAGTAGAGCAGCGACTAAAGCACTATGCCACCACCAACACCTGTCTATTGCACTATGGCCGGATCCATGGTATTATATAGACGCATATCCTGGGCTTTCCATACAGATCGAAGCTGCGTAGTGTTTTACCTTGTGTGCGTAACCGTAATTCGTTAACGCAAACCAACTATATCCCTGGAGTGAACATATTGATGGTGAATATTTCAAGAATGATTTGTTCCCCTGATCCGAGTTCATTGACCAAACCCTACAATCAACTCCGGACCATACACCCCTCCCCAACGAGTTTTTCACAGCGGTCCAGACACACGCAAACCCAAATCTGTCAAATGCATTCAACTGTGACCACTCAACTAAGAGCTGTTTTATCTGGCCATTTATCTAGCCGATTTGTTGTGTGATCCTCTTTGTATCAGAACCGTTTCTATCCGCAGCGTTGTGCTAGACCGACCACCCCAATACGTAGTGTGACGGTTCGTCTTACATGAGTTCTGTCTTGAAAGAAAAACCACAGATTTGGTCATTTTTCTGTCAATTACCAACCTTTGCACTTTTGGTCACTATTGTTTTGATTGTCTATTTGGTCAATCGATGTGAAATGGATGAATTCTCCCAGGTCCGTGGCAGAAACAAGCAAGATAGGGAACAGGATTTGGCGGTCCCGATGGAATGCGTAAAAGGTTCATCAGGTTTTTAAAGTTTCTATATTTAGAATTTCCTGGAATGTTATGCTCAAACTCCGAGTATCCTCTTCATCTGTTTTGTTCAGCGGCATCGCATTGATCCGCACACAACTACCCGTTCGCAGTTTGCGCAACACACGGATGATGGATCATCGAACGCGGTTTGGAATTTCTCCTCGCCGGGCACCGCAGGAATGGATGAAGATCCATCCGCACTGGATGATCAGGTATCAGAATCCCGTCGACCGGATCCGGTAGCGTTCTTTATCAGTGAAGGTGAAGATGACAGTAGTGATCGATGATCATTCACTCGTCTCCCTCTCGCCTCTCTCTCTCTCCTATCCATTTTTCTTCTCGTCAATCAGTCTAATGGTTGGCTTGTTAGTCCCACCCATTCCCGGTTGCTTTCTTCTGTACAGTTCGCATTCGTCTCCGACCGGTTCCTCCGCCTTGCTCGTGCATGGAATATTTCTCACCCCGGTCTATTTGTACAGACCTCTTATGGCTTGGCTATTTGTTTTTTTGTTTTTTCCAATTTGTACTTGTATTCTCACTTGGTCACTCTGGTATTGTTTAAATCTTTTTTTCTGACAGTTGTATTTTTACCTTTCCGTGTACACATACAGATTTATCTATCTATCTACAAATATGTGTGTGTTTGTGAACAGGATTGCTCCACGCGAAAGTGAGTTAGACAGGTGAAAAGGTGCAGAGTCTGACGAGCAGGTATCGTTGGGTCTGGGAAACGGGTCAGGTAGGAAACCTCGGATCCCCCCACCACATCTCTCTCTCGGTGTTGTCAGATACTACTCATATTTGTGAGTAGTTCGCAAAAGGATGCGATTGGCGGTTTCTTTCAACTATCAAAAATGAACTACCAAGGCAAGGTTAATTGTTCAAATTGTTGTTTGTCAGGTTG